AAGCCACAAGAGTGACACCACTATTTTGGGTCGATGAGGATTTCTGATCACGATGCTCAGTCCAGAATGTATACCCATTTATGTCCATATCCCTCAAATGAATAAACATCTTCGAAGATGGGATCGCATTGACGCATAAGCTAGCCACTTTATTGTATCAGAGACCATCTCATCCAATTGACGCATCACTCGATCATGGAACCCCATCACAAACATCTTATTATGCAACTACATTAAGGCCCTTTCCCCTTTTGATGGAAATTCGGCACTCAAACTGTCCATGTGCTCTTCTAAATAGTGAACCTCCACAACATGATGAAGCACAAATAGGTGAGCTTGCAAGAACTGATCTCGAGCAGGTGAGATCCGTTTCGACCCAAGTGTGCCATGACCATCAAGTCTCCCTTCATGTCGGGAAGTAGGAAGCCCAATTGGTTCGGCAACGGCAACATACTCTGCAACAAAATTACCAATCTCCTCAGCCACAATCCCTTGAATCATACTACCTTCTGGATGGGCTGGGTTTGTGACTTTATCTCGCAATGTACCCATGTGTCTTTCAAAAGGATAGCACCACCTCATAAATACTGGACTGCACAACTTAATCTCACGAACATAATGAAGAACCAAATGCACCATTATGTCAAAAAATGATGGTGGTAAATACATCTCAAATTTGCACAAAGTTACAACTACTTTCGCCTGGAGAGCATCAAGTGTAAAAGGATCAAGCACTTTGCTGCATATGGTATTGAAAAACGAACAAAGGCTTGTAATACCTTCTCTCACGTGCTTCGGTAGAATACCACGAATTGCAATCGGTAGGAATACTTGCATCATCATGTGACAATCATGGGATTTCATACTTGTCAACTTCAATTCTCCGTTTAAGGAAAAGAATCTTTTCATGTTTGACAAGAAACCAGATGGAACCTTAATGTCATACAAACAACACAAACCTATCGTTTTTCTTCCTTTGACAATGTGTAGCAAGTTAGAGGTAAATAAACCTTTTCATTCTTGCCTTTTCCATCATCTTTCTTCTTTGATACACCGGTGCCCTTTCCTTTGCGCTTCCCCGTACGTTTTTTTCCACCATCTTCGATTCCCTTTTCAATTACCTTTGCCTTCCCGACCTTTGGCTGGACCCACAATTCCGGACGAACCCCCCACGCTTCCAAATCTAATCGCGCACTCTTTCCATCCTTTGTTTTGCCATGAATACCCAGAAGTGTCCTAACAACTACATCACAAACATTCTTCTCTATATGCATCACATCGAGACAATGTCTAACATCATGTTCTTTCCAGTACTCAAGCTTCCAGAAGATCGATTCCTTTTTAAAGAGAGCATATGGGTCTAAAGGTTTCGATGTTTTACCAAAAACAGTTGGTATACCCTTCACTCGACCATACACCTCCTTTCCACTCAATGCCCTAGGCGCAGCCCCCTCTTCCACTTTCCCATTAAAGGCTTTTTCTGCTTACGATATGGGTGATCGCGCCTAAGCAATCTTCGGGTCCTCACGTACACATCTTTGCCATAGTGTTCAAGGTACACGTTTGGTGTGTCATTGATAAAAATGGGACATGCTTTATGCCCTTTGTTCTTGTACCCGGACAGGTTTCCATATGCGGGAAAATCATTAATGGTCCACATAAGGGTTGCACACAATAGGAACATCTCGTTCTTATGGGCATCAAAAACAGAAACTCCTTCGTCCCACATCTTTCTCAAATCATTAACAAGGGGCTCAAGGTAAACATCTAAGTCGTTTCCAGGTTGCCTTGGCCCCGTTATCAAAAGTGAAAGTATTACGTATTTTCGTTTCATGCACAACCACGGAGGCAAGTTGTAGATCACTAAAAGTACCGGCCATGTGCTATGTTGGGTACTAAGAGTGCCAAATGGATTCATACCGTCGGTGCACAACCCAAGCCTTAAATTTCTGACTTCATCACTAAATGCCCTAAACTTCATATCGATGTTCTTCCAATCCGGAGAGTCAGCCGGATGCTTTAGCAAACACTTTTTTATTTCTTCCCTCTGCATGCCATCTCAAGTTCTTAGCATCTTTTGGTATTGAAAATAGACGCTTGAACCTTGGAATGATGGGAAGATACCACAACACCTTGGCAGGAAGTCCCTTCATACCAGCATTGCAGCTCTTTCGCTTGTAACGCGACTTACCACAACGTGGACACTCCTCCAACTCTTCTTATTCATTTCGATAAAGAACACAATCATTAGGACATGCATGTATCTTCTTATGCTCCAAACCAAATGGACACATGTGTTTCTTTGCATAATAGTAGGAATTAGGAAGTTCATTCCCATCTGGCAACATGTCACATAACACAGTCAACAAAGAAGTAAAACTATTGTCGCTCCACTTATGCTTTGACTTAATGTTAAAAAGTGTTAGCACAGCTGAGAGTTTGGTGTATTTTTTAGACCCGGGATACAAAGGCTTTTTGGCAGCCTCTGATAATGACTCACATACATCACATCGATCACCAAATTCACCTTCAACATCATTTATCATCTCATCCAAGTGATCACCACCACCGTCCTCGATCTCTTCCCCCTCCTCATCCCCATCTCCATCGTCATCAGTCTCATATTCACCTTCCACATGAATCTCGGCACTTTTATCATGCGTATCATTCCCAACAACATTCTCCCTATACGATCCTTTTTCACCGTGCCAAACCCACACATGATATTGAGGCCTAAACCCATGACATACCACATGATCCCTTATTGTTTCAACACTATCGACCACTGTGACATTGTTACAATTGACACAAGGACAATAAAGGTCAATCACACCCGTTCTGAGCTGATATTGTGAAGCACTCTCGCAAAACTCTTGGACCCCATTAAAGAATTTAAACGTATCACGTCTACCATACATCCAACCGCGATACATCGACGTTTTAAATTGCCTTTAAACATACCAACACATTACAAATAATGTATAAATGCAACATATATTATGTCAATCAAAGTACATAGTATATATATATATATATATATATATATATATATATATATATATATATATATATATATATATATATATATATATATATATATATATAGTTCATATAGTGTAAAAATGAATGCTCCCAAAAGGTCCTTATCACTCCAATCTAACCCATCCTTGAACGTCTAATCTCACTAGTGAATGTATGTCAACTTTCCCATTTTAAGGAAAATCCAGCAGCATTTCCCCCCAGTTCTCCAAGTACACAATGTAGGTAATTACTTACCTACATATGCACCCAGAGAACATGGTTGCAAAATGATAAGCCGAGATATTCCTTAAAATCGAAAAAGAAACATACATTCACTACCTAAGTGATATTAAACGTCCAAGAACAGTCCCAACCGGGGACTATTCAAGCCTTGCTCCTAATGAGAAAGATTTGAACGGGTATCTAGGCAAATGACGATGCAAGCATTCAATAACGTGCATTTGTTTGACATTCAACAAAACACAATTTCATTCATTCATATAATGCTAATTGGACTGCCAACAAGCAAACTCATCTTACTTACAATCCATTCATTAATTCATCACTTTTAGGCTACTCAAATTCAAACAACATATAACATTTAAACAATTAAGGTAACAATTAATATTATGGATACAAAAAATTAATAAAATAATTAAGATAAAATTCAATTAACTAAAATTGAAACCCTAAAATTTTCCTACATATGGTGAAATTAAGCATGAACTCACCCTAATTTGAGAGGACCAAAGAGAAGGAATGCGGGGTGAGAGGGAGAGGTGTGGTGGTGGTGTCGTGTGAAGCTGCTGCAGCAATGGAGTAAGTGAGTGAGTGCAAGGTGAGAGGGGCAGCAGGGAGTACGTCGCAGCAGCAATCCATGTGGTGTGGCCGACTGTGGTGGAGGCGGCGACGGTGCTGCGGCAGTCGTAGTGTCGTGCCTATGCTCGAAGTATCAACCGCAGTGGTCTTAACAACAGTTAAGCAATGGAGTGAGTGAGTGCAAGGTGAGAGGGGCAGCGTGTCTATAACTTCGTGGTGGTGGTTAAGTTAAGCAGCAATGGTGGTGGTGGTGGAGTGCCGGTGTTTGAGATTGACAGGGGAAATGAAGGAGGAGTGAGCGAAATGGAGGACTGAGTGAAATGAAGGGGAAGTGAAGGAGGAACGCGAAATGCATGGAGTGAGTGAGTGAAATTGGATCCCGCTCTTTCCTTTTGACTTTTTTCTACTAGTGATTGTACAATTTTTTCAACTAATAATAATATGAAGTATGCATTATTCACATCCAAAGATTCAATTTGCCTTTTTTTCCCGTAAAGTTATAATTTGTAAATTAATTTAACAAAAAAAAATTATAATATTTAATAATTAATAATACAAAAATATAATAAATTATAAGCATTATTAATTATAAACTAAATATAAATTATAAAGTAATAGTGTAAACTAAATATAATTATTAAATATAATAAACAATAAAATATAAATATTTAACTTAACTTATTTTAGAAATATAATAGTATAAAGTATAAAAGTATAAAGTAAGTATAAACATTTAAAAAAATAAATAAATAAATAAAGAGCAAGGCAGCAGTCAGCACGACAAGAGCCCGCCTGACACGTGGGTCGTGCCGTGCCATGGGCTGGCCTACGATTTTGGCTGGCACGGCACGCTGACTTTGGCATGGTGGCACGGCCCGACACGGCCCGCCGGAGACCGTAACCCACCAGGCACGGCTCGTAGCGGCACGTCACGGCACGTTGCCCACCTTTACATGAAAGTGAGAAAGTGAAACTTATTTGGAAAGTTGCAATTGTTATGGACATAGGAAAGGGCTTATCACTCTTACTGATAAGTCACAATTCTCATGCCAATTCCTAAGAACTTAAGAAGTGTCATTCAAATAAGAAAAAGTCAAATCTTAGAAAAGTGGAGCAACTTCCCATGAAAACTAGAGATAAACCAAACTAGGTGAACTTAAACAAGAAATTGAAAAATTGATTCAAGCTAAATTCACACCCAAAATTTAACTCAAACTCGGCTTTTTTAATTCCTTTTTCTTTTCTTTTCTTTTTTTTGGTTTTTTTTGTTGATGTAGAGAGAATTATAAGGGCAAATCTTGAATATCACCCCTTAAGAGGTTAACCAATTAGTGTACTTGTTCATCCACAAACTCAGCTCAAGTATAATTTTGTCAACTGTATATAGTGCATAGATATAGAGTGAACCATACATGATACGAGCACTAAAGTTTATTTTTTTTATTTTTTTTACTGGGCTGCTATTTAGTCGATATTGGACAGGCTGAGTAGTGTATTTACATTGGGCCTATTGGCCTCATGAAGTTATTGCTATTAAAAAAACCAACCAAAAAAAAATCAAAGGGTTTTGGAAACAAACCAGAAGCCGTTGAAAACGTAATGAAAAACTTAATTGACTTATTGTACTTCCATTATCAACAGTAATGCTGAAAACTATTCCATAAAAAGGGTTTCATTTTCTTGAGGTCAAACAAACAACTAAGCTGAAATACTCCCATTTTATCCACTTCATAAACAACAATATCACCTCATTTCTCTGAATCTTTGTACCACTTTTTCCAGATTTGTTAATCAACTCCAAAAACCCACCAAAAATCCACCCTTTATTCCTCTAATTTCTGCAAATTCAACCTGGGTTTCGAATCTTTGAACAAGAATGAGCTGTTGATCAAAGGGGTTTTCGCCGTTTACGGTGAACAGAACATTAAGTGTAAGTATACGATAACGAAAACTTTGAGAGCAACAACAACCTTAGTTGAGTATGAATAGAGGAGGGTCAGAAGGGGTTTCGCCGTTTACAGTGTCGCAGTGGCAAGAATTGGAGCATCAAGCTTTGATCTATAAGTATTTAATTGCTGGACTTTCTGTACCACCAGATCTAGTTCTTCCTATTCAAAATAGCTTCGGAACTTCTTCTTCTGCATTTTTCCATCGCCCTACTTGTGAGTTTTGTACTTTTGAACATTACTAATTAAACCCCACTAATTTTAATTTTGATTTTTTTGATATTTCTGTTTGATAAAGTTTTGATTTGTTTTTGGTTTGTTGGGATGTAGTGGATACCCTTTAATTTAATTTGATTTTTACAAGTTTTCTAATTGATAAAGCTTTGATTTTGTTTTATTGGGAATTTTATTGAATTTGGTTTTTACGAAATTTCTGATTGATAGATTTTGATTTTGTTTGTTTTGGCTTGTTTGGTTGTACTGGGATACTCATTAATTTTAATTTGATTTCTATGAAATTTTTGGTTGATACTTATTGATTTTGTTTGTATTGGTTTGTTGGGGAGGTAGTGGGAAACCTAATAATTTTAATTTGATTTCTACGAATTTTCTGGGTGATAGTTATTGAATTTGTTTATTTTGATTTGTTGGAATAGTGCTGGAATATTTATTAATATGAATTTGTTTTTTTATGAATATTTTGGTTGATTGTTATTAATGTTGTTTGCTTTGGATTTGGTTGATTTTGTACTGGGGTTACCCACTAATTGTAATTTGATTTTTGTGAAATTTCTGGTTGATAGTTATTGGTTTTGTTTGTTTTGGTTTGTTGGGGATGTACAGCAATGCCCACTAAGTTTAATTTAAGTTTATCTAATTTTTGGTTCATAGTTATTGATGTTTGTTTTGGTTGATTGTTGTGGATATACTGAGATACCCACTAATTTTAATTTGATCTTTAAGAAATTTTTGGCTGATAGTTATTGATGTTGTTTGTTTTGGTTTGGTTGGGGATGCAGTGGGATATTGTGGTAGAGAAAATTCTTTGTATGGCATTGGAATTGGGATTGGTTATGGAAAGAAGATAGATCCGGAACCGGGTAGATGTAGAAGAACTGATGGTAAGAAATGGCGGTGTGCCAAAGAAGCCTACCCGGACTCTAAGTATTGCGAGCGCCACATGAACCGTGGCCGCAGCCGTTCAAGAAAGCATGTGGAATCCAATCCTTTCTCCTCCTCTTCGTCGACGACGACTTCTGTGTCTGTTCTAAACCAGAGCCTTCCCCTCAAATTCAATGCATTTGCATCTGCTAGTAATGCTGCTGCACCGACTTCAAATCCAAATCAATCACAATTTCAATTGGATTCTATCCCTTATGCCATTCCTACCAAACAATACTCCAGGTATACATTCTTCCATACTAATATGATTTTCTTTGCTCTATGGTACCATTATCATTATTGCACTATACAACTGTTGCTGTTGGCTTTATTTTTATTAGGCAATATTGGCTACTGTATATGTACATCTCAGCTTTTGTTATTTTGCAATGTCAATTTATTAGGAGCTTGCTTCCATGATCGCTTTGCAATGTGTATGGTTCGATGTGCATTTACATATTATTGGAACTGGTCTTTTTAGTGTGTGCTGCTCTAAGAAAGTTGTTCCTATCAGATTAAAGTAATTTTGTATTCTTTAGTTGCTCATTTTGTTGCGGGTTAATTTTAAACTCTCCTTCACCATATCACATAACATCGCAGAAACTTTCCCATGTTCCCAGCACTCATAATCCTCACCCGCTTAAATTCTTACTTTCATTTTCACCACTACTTCAGAGAGATGACTCGTACAGAAAAACCAATTCAGTCTCTGATTTAAGGCTCTTACATTGCCCTTCCACAGTTCCACAACTCTTATTGAGTTATAGTCAAGAAACAGATAAGACTTTCTTGTTCAACCTAATTGACAGTTTTAGTCTTAGACCATTCATTTGTAAGTCGGAATTATAACCCCCTTCCCTTACTCACAATGCAATTGATTTAACTTCAATGTTGATACTGATAAACTATCATTTCTATTTAACTTCATCACAAATTGCACTGCTTTTATCTCCAGTGTCCTCTTTCAGTCTTTTGTACAGCCTAAAGGCCTTAACAAAATAAAAATAAAAATAAAAAAACAGCAGGGGACAAGCAAAAAAATTGCGGCTCAGGACTCGCCAGTTTGAGCAGAGAAGAAAGAGGATATTGAACATGATGATAATAGAGGCAGAAAACTGCGTAGCTGTCTCTGAATTAGGGCCATTTCCTCCTCTTCATTCATCTATATTCTTTCTTTTGGCTTAGTGAGGCATGCATTGTTTTAACTCCAAGATATGTCAACCAAGTGCTTTTCTGTGTCTCAAATTGTTGTGCTTGCAGAATGCCTCCTGAGTCTTGCCTGAGTCACTTTATTTAATTTAGATTCAAAGAATTCTTATGTTCCAAATTTCTGCGTTTTATGGTGGATATTGCGGGAGATGTGTGTAAGAAAGTAGCTGAATTATTTCAATTTTCAGCTTTTTATGGTAATGGATATCTTGGGAGATGTATGAAAGTGAGGATTAACGGCTTAAATTCAAGCAGATAGAGTACTTAATCCTTTTGGAAACATCACTTTCTTATTACCTTCTATCTGCCTTTGCTTGCTTCAAAGAAATTCTATACATATCGATGTTTAACCATTACCGATGGAAACATGCAGGCACCTCCAGGGGTCAAAACCTGAGGCTGGTGATAATAGATCCTTCTCTCAATGCTCAGGTGGCAACAGATCTCTCATTATGGACTCTGCTTTGGACAATACGTGGCCCTCACTGTCACCCCAGATGTCATCACTCTCTCAATCAAAACCGATGGATAATTCCTCATTGCATGACGATTATTCTCACCGCTCTTTTATCAACTGTGAGTTTGGCCAACCGCAGTCTGTGAAACAAGGCAATCGTTCTCTTCACCCTTTCTTTGAGGAGTGGCCAAATACCAGGGAGGCATGGTCGGGTTTGGAAGATGAAAGGGCCAACCAGGTTTCTTTCTCCACAACACAGCTCTCCATTTCTGTACCAATGACTACTACGGACTTCTCAGCCAGTCCACGATCCCCTCAAGGTGAAGTTACATTATTTATAAAATGAATGGAAATGTTATCATCTTCTGAAATCTGCATGACTTTTTTTTCATGCAGAATCTTGAAGTAAGCTGTGGTTTTGCCAAGCCAACACAAAATTTGGCTTTGCTTTGAAGCTCTTGGTTTTCTTGCTTCTCTCTAAGTTGTGTAGTTGATACTGATAATATGAGAAAGCCTTTTAACACAACTATGGTGTGAAGTAAAGATGCTAGGCATGCATGGATAAGGGGAAACTCAGCTGGAGGGGCTTGAAACTGAAGATGGAATAAAATTTTGTTCTGGAATCGTCTCCGTTTGGAAGCAGCATCCAAGGGTGCAGAAGCACATATGTGTAGTTATCAAACTTGTTGACTTTATTTGGATCGCTTATATTTATGCTTTTTAGAGTCTGCAATATTTGTTTCTGGTCACATTAAGAGGTTTTCATGGATTCTTTGCTAGACATGCAACTGTTTTGATCGTTGGCAAATATTGTTATGCCTTTTGCTATTGAAGATTTTATCTCATGTTTGCTAAGATTTCAGTTAAACGACTAAATATGTTTTTTTTTTTTTTTTTACTAAATAATTGTGTCTAGCTGTCTTGTTATTTTGAACTTTAAACTTTCAAGAAATTGCACCAAATTGCATGCCCCTCTTCACCTAGACACCTATTACCTCACTGTAAGTGAGTAGACGTAGATAATAGGTAGATAACATAAGAGAGAAACCATGGATAAACAAGAAGCACGAGGGACAGAATATATTCAGATGAGGGTGTAGCGTCTATTGATGCTTCTTTTTGACACTGTCGTAGGCCTTCTTGGCTTTCTCATGCTTCTTTTAAAGGGTACATCATACACTAGAGCAACTGTTAACTTAGGAGTTCGGTACACCAAATGGAAAAGTTTAGTAGGTCTAGTCCAAAAGGCAAATAAGAATGTTACAAGGAAATCGAATGAGACTCGAGATAACACTACTTCATTGCAAACCAAACAGCTCAACGAAAGCCTAAGTAAACATATATAGCCGAGTTGGTATGAATATTTTGCAAGGAAAAAAAAAACAAAAAAACTATTGCTCCCTAGTCTCTAGAGCATCAAAACTGTAGTGGGTTAGTTATTGAGGGCTCTTATTCAGGTTTTCAGATAAATCCAAGCACAATCATCACTTGGTATGATAATGAATAATGATACATGTAGCCAAGAAATGTATCCCTAATGGTGATTTAAGCTGCCATTACATTATGGGCTTCAGTTGGAAAAAGACGTTTAAAAAATCCGTGGGAACAAGTTTCTGGCTGAATTGACACTCAACATTAATGGTGAATAACTTGAACATTTATCATGATACTTGTATAAATTTTGAATTCAAGTGTTCAAATCATGATATTCAAGAATAAAATGAGTAGATTTACATAGAATTTTTAGCACACCAATAAATGTGTTAGCTCCTTCCGCATGAACCCTCCAATATATCAATGGCGGTGCCAACAATTTACATATGAGCTATCCGCCAAAGCTGCTACTGCCACATCATAGCTAGCATGTTGCGCCTGGGTTTCAATCATTCAATGGAAACAACTTGGATGCTGCCACCCATGTTAGGCTCCGCTAAACCAATACCCGGTAAGATCTCTGGGTACCAAACACCAAAAAATCTAGAACAATATCCTCATATCGATCTATGCACAAAAGATAAAGGCCGAGTATACCATCGTATTGTATGATGACTGAACTCTTCTTTCCCATGATGATACCTGTTTCTCAACAATAGGGTGACCTTGATCGGAGACATCCACACTTTAGCCAAGTATAAAAGACCTACTACAAGTCAAGTTGTGCACAAGTTAACAAATGGACATGGACAATGATGTGAGCTTAAGAAAAAAGCAAAAAAGGTAAGGTCGGAAGGACTTACATGCCCCTAATCAATTGGATGTTTGTCAGCTTGGCGAGATGTATAATGTGCAGAAAGCAAAAGCAAGGAAAGGAAGGCACTAGCAACAAATATTGCATCAAACCAGCGATGATAGAAGTCAAATTGTATATCTCCCAAAACATCAGTTATTATCATCCTGAAATGAAGCAGTTCAAAAGTCGCCCCTAAGTTTGCAGAAGAAAATATCATTCTTCACTAGCCAACACCATATAACTATCAAAATGTTGCAATTTGCTTAAAATTTAAAATATATGCAAGCCTCCCTGATCATTCCTAAATATATGGGAGCAATGTACAGGAAACAGAAGAAAAATCTTCAAATAATGGCAAGACAAAATTGTTCCTGAAATTCTTACTAAGAGCTAATTGAAGACCCTACTTAAGGTTTGTTTCCTCAAAATCCTGACAAAGTTGCTTTGTTTTGCTCTGTCATTTCCTGTACTCAGCTAATCCATTAGGTATTTTAATTAACTATTTTTAGATTAATATCCTAACCATTAGCAACACACAGTCATTATTGGCAGCTAATTAGCTAATCTTACATGTAAATTAGCAGCTACTCCACATGCTATGCAATTCAGGGTGGTAGTTGGATAGTCTTATAGACACTGTTTTGGGGATTTCAAGATAAACATTCGAGGTTTGTATTATATGTTATATCATATACAACTATTGCCTAGTAACAGACTAGCAGTAGGCAATTGTAATTGTTCTATACTTCTATCTGCTTCTGGGAAACATCTCCTATCGTAAAATACACCCTCAAGTTATGTTTTAATCCTCGAAAAAAAAAAAGAAAAAAAAAAATCCACAACAGATGAGGAACAGAAATCAATCAAACCCAAAAATAAAATATAAATGAATAAATTTGGTTTGACAAAAAGGTCCCATGTAACCATGTCCTAATGCTATCATGTAAGTTATTAATCTACAAAATCAAGACATGTAAGTGCCACTAAAAACCTAACACTTGAATCCAGCTATAAAATATCCTCAAGTATATAATTTGAACTTTTGACACACACAAGCGTCACCCTGATTGAACCCCAGCAATTCTAGTGCCACTAGTAATACTCGACAAAAAGTCTCAAGTGATCATAAATTCATAAGTGGAGGTCTGCCAACAAGTTTGCATGTGTAGCTCTAAAAAACTATCTTGCGAATTAAGCTGTAGATGTCACAGAGCATCAAGGCTAAAGAAAGTTTTGAAAGGGGAAAAATGAAAAAAAAATGAATAAGTTTGCAGACAGTCCTCAAGAGGATGAGAAAAATGCCCAATGCAGGCAAACAAACCACTGAATATTAACAATCAAAGAGAATATATACATTTACTTAATAACAAAATAGAATAGAATCACTTTTAGTATGACGATTACCTGTACTCAGTTGCTAGACTTTTCCTTATCAAAAGAATAGATGAGACAAAATACATTCCCATGATTTCTGACAAAAATAGGACAACATTGCTAGAAGATCCACTCCCAACTCTGGAAACTGCAAAGAAGAACTGCAAAAATCGAATATTTCTAGTTAGAATGCAAACCATGTATGCCAATGAAGCCCCAACTGATAGATCAAAATTGACAGGGCATTATGTCTAGGATTTTAAACTCATACAAGCAGAAAAATTCCTGAGCAAGTAACAGCACATAACTTCATTCATTAGATTCACTAGACAAATAACATGCAACATTGCAACCACAAATAAATGAGCAGCCAAACTACATGTTACAAGAGTATGGAAATCAAGGGAAAAGGGACCCTTGAGGCAACATTACCTTCATGAGGTTTGATAGAAATCCTCGAACTGATATGACAATCAACATCCCGATAAATAGTAGGGATATATACTGCACATAAAAGACCGAAAAAGGGAAATTAATTCACAGAATTTCAACAAACCACCATCACAATTACACCAATTAAGGATCATATGAAAGAATGGAAGATGCACAAAATTAACAACTGGAAATACAACATCAAACTACTCAGAAATATAATTTACATAGTTACTACAGAGGTTCTTTAGATATCTAACTCAGATGTGCAGCAGAACTACTATTACTTAAATATTTCATGAATGTCTGGGTAAACATCAAGTTAGACAATTAAGCTATTTGTAAATTTCAACATCTCATCCTATAAACAAATGAGAAATTACTATGGCCCAATAGCTTCAGCTTGGGCTCACCAACAGACCTACACGTTTCCATTTAAAAAAAATTGTCAATTTATCAAGACATTAATAGAGAAGGAAATTTCAAAACTCTTATCAAATCTTTCTATCATCAAAAAAAATTAATTCACCAAAAAAAACTAGTATACTACTACTACTCCATCCAAAAGGTTCTCAAAGTTATGTCCATAGATCATAGAGAAGTTAGCAAGTAATGGAGATCCATGAAGAATTAGATATAGTTGCGGATGGACACTCTTTATCTTGGACATTGTCATGAATCTCATGATGCACTCCTTGCAAATTTACACTATAAATCAACTATTATTGCCACCATTTATTCTTAAAAAAGTGCTAGTATCATCGCATCAAAGAGGCTGACAAAGTATTTTAAGGTACTACAAATAAAATCTTAATTCTATAAACCAATGCTAGTAATATCGCATCAATTAATAGCGTTGTTGATATCATGATCACTATAATTGTACTTACTAGAGGATAGGATCATCCAAAAATTAAACAAAATAATGGAACTGAAGTATGGGCCATGAAAGTAAACAATAGCAAAAGGCAATTCAGGTTATAATATACAAGAAGCAATATGTCAAGAGTTCATTAAGTCACCTGGGATAATAACGTGGCATCAATTCCAATATCAAAGTATTGTAGGAATATGCTGATTGTCTTTGTGACAGGGTCAACTGAACCAGCCTGTGTGGAGAAAAAAAAAAATCTTAGATCATCAACAGGATGCAGTTCAGCTAATTGTAAGTCAGTTCCGACATCATCACCATGAAAGGGGGAGGGGGAACTTCAGCTGAAAAAGTAAGCAAGACCCAATATAGACCAGTCTGGCAGAAAAAAATTACCTCCTTGAAGACAACGCTCTGCAAAGACTGCAGAACAAGGAGATCAATCAGATATACGAAACATCATTCAATAATAACTTAATAAGTGAAGCCAGATAGAAAGAAAGAAAGGAGTTAAAAAAAAAAACAAGGACTTAATACTGAAGTACTACAAGACAGGATTCTTAGAGATTACCACAATACAACGTAATTCTGAAACAAAAAGTTCAAAGGCATGTTCACTCTCAGAATTCTCTTTCCTATATCCAGTTTTCTTTCACCATCAACTATTTTTTCATAGGACATCTGAGGTAATATAATTAATTTCACTACTCCCAATCTAAGTGTTCATCCTACTTTACTCTATTTCTCATTTATACCAAAATTATCCCCTTTTAAGTTTCAAGATGAACCAGGAACAACTTAGCAATACATGTTAGGACAATTGCGCATCAGAAGTAGATAAGTTAAACAATTAGAAAAATAATATTACCTTAATCATTTTATAGACACAATAAACTGAACAGGCATAACCCAAAAAATTCTGCATGTGGCCTTTCCAAGTTCGAGAAAAAGCAGCAGCTTCCTGAAACAAGGGAGGTAATGATTCAGAAAAACAGCTTTCAAAGACACATCCCAGTAGGCCCAACTACTATCTCATTAAAAAAGAAGAATTTGAG